TTGCTAAGCAAATTCTAAATTTTTTTATATGCTAATTAGAATGGCAAACAAGCTGACGGCCCACCTGATGGAAAGTGATAACCATCGCCCATAGACATGAACAATACCTTTAGCATAACAGAGTATACTTTGTCACCCATGTTGCTCATGATATATGTAAACACATGATTCTATATTCAAAGTTTCAAATTGCTTTTTTTACTACTACGAGTACATAGTACTTTGCATTTTTTCACCGGGCACCAGTGAAGGATGATAGGTGAGGATGAAATAGATCAGTTAGCCCATCGTGACGAATTCAACAAGAATTGTTTACGATAATTTCCAGGGGGAATCACGTGGAGGTCGACCTAATGAGGAATATTGCTAGCAACGGGGCTGTCAAACTCTATTGCTAACAATACCTTTTCCCCCCAAGTACTTTGCATATTAAAAATACTTAGCAAGGACACAAGTCGAATATCTGTTATAAAACAAACTCATGACATAATACCATAACTTATCAAGGTTTACCCAATAAAATGATAAAATATAATCTAAGCTTGGAAAAATGAGTCTGTTTCTGCACGAACACAAAAACATGTCACAAGCTTTTTCAGCACTTATTGTGTTGAAAAAGTAAATATAAAAATTTCAATATAATTAATTGAAAGAAAATGCTTACAACCAATTTTTATCGAATATTTCCCGCTGTTGTCATTAAACTTCCTGATATTATTATAAATGTTGATGACTACGACATTGGACTAGCCTGATATTGATCAAATTGATAGGTGATTCGTAAAAAATTTGCCAGATTAAATTTTATCGATTACATATGTAGCTGTATAAATAAAAATCAATTGCCAAATGTATATTGTACATTATTGTTAACTCGTATTTTTGTAGCTTTGTGTACAGTGCCTTGTGTCTATATTGTTGCTACTTGTGAAAACCTATTAGTGGCTTATTTTGTTATCGTAAAACTGTATCTATTTGCTGTACTACAAGCCTGGTTTTCCTATGAATAAATAAATAAATTATTTCAGAATTATTGTTGAGTAATTATTTTATTTTTGTGTTAGTAATTATGTACGTATAATCTACTTATCTACTCACCCTGCCTGAGACAATGGGAGACAGGCAAAATGAATATTAATGTATCATCATTATGATGATATTAACTATTCACTGCTAAATATAGGCCTGCCATTTTTGAGATTTTGCTAGTAACTGCCACGCTTGGCAGGCGGATTGACAACCGCAGTTAAGGTTTGGTGATGTTTTAAGAGGAATGCGATATGTATGTATGTACATATGTAATTATCAGGACAAGGTTTGTATGAAAGAAACGTATGTCTGTAAAATCGTAGGGAAAAGTAGAAAAATCAGATAACAAATCTCCATTTAAAAAAGCAAGTGAATGAAACGAAAGATAGTAAGAAGATTTTCAAAAATGTTGACAGAATAGATAGATTACCGTTCATTTTCATTACTAAGTATAGCCGTGAAAAGTCGGAAACGGCGGCTAGTTATTGATGTAAATCTAACACATCTCTTAGGCATGTACATACTTAATAGTGTAATAAACAGTATACTAAAAACTACTGTTATATATAATTCTTAATATCAGTATACATGATTTTTCTCAATTTTAATTAGAAACTTCTATAATACATAAATAACATTTTCTCCTTTCTTATTAATACGTTATGCAAATTATAATTAAAAACACCGGTAACAAATCAAATGAAAGCAAGCGACAGCTGTAGTTTAGCCTCTTATTACGCTTCATTTGTGTATGCTTAAATATGGACATGTCGAATATTATGTTCATAACAAATGCAATAATCAGCAACTACCCATTATGGATAAGTATTATATAAATATGCCATTTTCATTATGTGATATCAGTGTCACGAAATAATCATTCAATCATCATCATTAATCAAACAGTTAATATTTTTAGACGTTGCACAAAATATTATTATATTATTGTGCATACCCATCATAATAATATAGGCGCATTTGCAGCAAATAATAAAAAATCTATTAACACTTTCTCGTCCTAAGTGAGCGTGGTATTTCACCTCACCGCTTCACCACATTAGAGTCACATTATTTTTGTAATTATTGCAAAAGTGTGGCGTTGCTTCTCTAATTCTCTTAGCGATTAGGAGCGTGCGAGTGTCCACACTAGCCAGTCACATACTCGCCCCGTCTTATCGGACCTTGATCCCCTTTACACATCACGATTATTATTTAGTAACTGGCCAACTTACTGGCCGCAGTTTCTCTTGTAAGGATTATTTGGGTTTAATATCAATATATGACTATATTAGTATAAGAAAATATTACAACTTTTTTTTTTTATTATCAATAAAAATTTTGATAAGATAATCTATGTGATTTGTTGGTTTGCATCGGTACTACAATCTGTATACTATTATAAGTAGTAACAAATGTCGTTTTGAAGCTTCAAAATCGTATCTACCAATACATAATTCGTAATACAACGTTCTACTGCAGATCATGAGTCTTTTCTATGAAAAAAGCATATTAGTCTACTATTGTTTTTATTTAAAACTTTCTTCTTTTGAGTTGATATAATGCATTTTGTGCCCATAGTCACCTTTTACAAGTCTGGAGGTGAATAAAAGATGTGACATATTATACCCTTACTCTGACGCTACACCTATTGAATATATGACAAAAGAAATAATTAGAATCTTATCTCTTAACAAATTTATAAATATGTATAATAATATTAAAATAATAAAATATCGTGGCCTGTAAATAGCTTTCGACTGACCGTATAGCACCGTAGCGTTTAGAGTCGCGGGCGCACGACGATTTGCCGGATTTCACGGCGCAATGGCGGGTCACGCCGCGGGGTCACGGTGCGGGGTCACGCCCCGCTAACGTCACGTTCCCTGCTTTCCATTAGCTCACGGAACGAAAGTACTAAATGGACCCACGACCGATGATAGTTTTCGATTTTTCCTTAATTCCAAACAATAAAAAATTTGGAATGATTGCTTTTTTATGGTGTCTACAGTGAAAGTAGCAATCAAACATTAATATTAATATTTCTCACCCTGTGATGACGGTGTAAACTACAACTCTGATCAGTCTGTTTCAAAAAGAAGGAGATTCCCGATTTGGTTTTATTTTTTTTATATTTGTTACATCATAACTCCGTCAATTCTAAACTGTATTGGATTTTTATATATCTGAAAGGATGTATCTACAGATTAGTCCCTTAAAATATTTTATTGAATTCAGTTCAGTAGTCTAATTTTGAAAACAAAATAACTGGGTTTGCTACAATTGAAGCTAGTTTTTTTTTTTTTTTTGTGGAACAATCTTTTATTCTTGTCTAGAAAGAGTAGATAAGAAAATAAACTAAAATACTTGTGAAAGAGAACACGATGTAAATCTTATGCTAAACCGCCTGAGTGGCATGATAAAAATAAACCAATATCGTCTTCTGTCGCCTTGTGGTCCCGGGTGTAGAATAGGCTACCCCTTCCTTTCCTGTGAGTATCTTAAGAGGCGACTAAGGCAAGGCGAGAGATGGGCAGCAGTGTCCCTTTTAAAACATCTCTAAAAACCTAACTGCGGTTGCCGACCTGCTTACCAAGCGTGGCAACTACTGGCAAATCTTCCCTTATGGGGACGGCTTCAGTAGTGGTCAATTAACGGCTGAAATAATAATAGATAATAATCGTCTTCTGGGGAAGTAAATCAGCATGTCTACTCTTGAATCTAATATAAATACTAATCCAATCTATTACCAATGACAATTTTATACTCTTGAAACAACAGTTAAGAACTAGATTATAACTGGAATCGGTTCGCAATAGTTTACATTGGCAATTTACACTAATATGCAATATCAGAACAATATGGAATCACTATGTCGCTAGTGATGCAATTCGAGAACGTGAAACGACTCAATTTAATTATCAATTTATTGGAATTTATTTCAAGAATAACCCCCCAATTCACTGTAGTAGAACTATACCAAGTTGTTAGGGATGGAAACCTTTATTTATAAATTAAAACATTATATAAATTTACATTACCTACACCGTTGCCCGTATGCAAAAGCTTCAAGTTACTCAGAGAGCTATATATGACGCAGCTATTAAAGCTATATATGAATATGGCGATACTCTGAGTTTCTTTGCATGAAAGAATCCCAAGTAAGTAAGGATATCTGCAAAATAACCAAAGTCACCGACATAGCCCGCAGGATAAGGAAGCTAAATTGGCAATGGACTGATCACATAGCTCGAAGAATTGACAATCAAGGGGAAAGAAAGGTTTTTGAGCCCATTTGTAAGACGATTGATCCCCCCCCCCCTCTCCAGTACATAGAGTGACGACCTCAAATGCATTGCAGGGCGTCAGTAAATGCTTAGGGGCTTAGGACTGTTCCTGATGGCAGTCTATGGGGGAGGCCTATATTCAGCAGTGGAGAAATAAAGGCTGATATGTTGATGATGATGATGACAAATTGACTTTATACTAACTGTACTCATGCTGCGGTTTGTTTGTTATTCTAATTTATAAAACTAAAACAAAAGATTCCACAATAATTAATTTACATAATTCCTTACAATATAACTAGGACTTAACATTTATTTTATATCCTACTGATAATGACATTATTTTTTGACGTTTGTGAATAATTTTAGACTTTATTCACATTGTTACTTTATAACGCATAAACAGTTATAAATGGATTATAAATAAATTTAAAATATAGCTAAAACCTATCCAAGATAACCCCTATTTGTCCTCATTCAAGCACTCCAAGACGCAGGATACAGCTAGTACTCTCTAGAGCCTATCACCATGTTAAACTCTAGCTTCTGCATGAAAAGCATTTCGCAATCAAAAACATTTCATAATATACTGATAATTTAAAAAAAGAATCAACAGTATGTCATCCGTCAATTGAACGGGCAGTGTGACCAACCTAGCAATTCTGACGGACGGCTATTTTTCCACAGATGAGCGCGCGAACGCGCCCGTGACTTCCGTTTCCGGCGGCGCGCCCGCAGCATCCGTGACCATCAGACCAGGACACATGTCAATAATGTTAAGTAAGTACAACGAGCCATTTCAAGTCATTAAAACTTAGATAAGTAAAACAGAAATAAAAAGTATAACATTAATAATATTATATATCTACGAATATACATAAAATATATTATAAATATTCCATGAAGGACATAATAAATCATTTAATTTAAATAAACGATGGGTTCACGCTTAAACATCGAATGGAAGATAACGGAAAGGTTTAAGATAAAATGGGCTCGCTTAGAAGAAAGAATTTATTGTGTATAGGTATAAATTATTAGCTGTTATTTTCTTTACCTATCCTAATTATGAAGTACTGCATTCGTGATTCACTATTCATCACAAAGGGTAACTGATAAAGAATGCTACTAGCATTAAGTCCGCCTTTTGTACCATATTTTCTTTTGATCATTAAAGTTATTTACATAAATAAATAAAGAAATTAATTTAAAATGTTGTATATGTAATATGTGTATGTATTATATATGTTTTAATTTATTGGTGCTCTGGTAAATGTAAAATTAGACAATATATCATTACATAAAATTGTTATAATTATTTATCTTGCTGATTAAACTTTTTCAAAATACCTATACGAATATTTAACGTATTTCATTAGAAAGAACATAATAAAACATTCCAAAATATACTATACCTCATATTATATTGTCATATATATATATATATATATATATATATATATATATATATTTATCTCACTTCTATCCTGTTTTTATTTATCAAAATATCTCATTAGATAAATTTTAAGTTGTTCTACTTCCTACAAATATGATATGTGAAAGTTTTAAACGATGTTTACTGGCTGGTCAAAGTGGTCGTACTTAATGGTAAACGAGCAATATGATTCATAACGTGACAGTTGTCATCATATTATCCACACTGTACTGAGGATTTTCATCTTAATAAGTTCATTTTATTTTACTGCTACTTCTGAAAGGAGATTTTGAAGTGCCTATTGTAAACCGATTTTCAGGATTATTTTTGAAAGTGGTAAAATCTATTCCATATTGGTTTCATATTAATTTTGTGACAATTGCAACTATTTCTTTTACAGAAAACTGCTTGTTGCGAAGCAAAATGTACTTGTAAACACGCATTTCCGTGTTCCAAATTCAAATATCTTCAATGTGTCTCCGAAACACATTGTTATTCGTCGATGAAATTGCTTTTTTGTAGAACAAAATGTGCTAATTGGCTTCGTCAAGCAGTGATCTAATTACGACCCTACACATTTTGACAGTGTAATATGTCTTCAAATAATAAATATCATTAGAAGATGCATGTAAGAATTGCATATGCGTCAGAGATGCGTCAAAACTGCAAGTGCGTCACCGTGACGGCGGCATGTCGGAAGCGCGCTCATTAGCTCGTCGCGGGGACTCGACGCATCCGGCGGCAGCCTTTAAAAACAATGTTATGACGTAATTAAATTATGTACTAGTTATAATTTTATGCGAAACGTTTCCACTTTTGAAATACGTAAGTATTATAGTTTAAAAGAGACGGGACTTCATTAGGTAAATTATTTAATTTACTTCAATTTATGTCGACGTTTTCACCAACTGTTGCCTGGCTGTGATCACAAAACCACTGACGTATCGATGCCGTGTCTTCATTTCCTAGGTAGAAGTATTTTAGATGACTGATTATAGGTACTTGTATTTAGGTCAAAAACTACTATATATAGTATAGTATACTACTACACTATATACTAACTATATAGAAACACAAAAACAACTACTGACAAAACCCCCTTATGAGGGAAACCTATGTTTAACAGTGGACAGTTATCGGCTGGTATAATGATAATAAAATAAAAATACAACAAATCAATTTTTTTTCTCATCATAAAATTAATATAAAAAAGCAAATGACGATACTATTTATAGTTGAACGAATTGGTAAAATGCGTTTACTCATAATGTAATTCTTTTTTTTATGTTATTTATTTAATTTACTCTTTATTGCACCAGAAACAAACATATATAATGACAATTCAATAATTCAAGTGAAATACAGTAACATAAATACAGATTGAAATATATACATAAAGGTACAAAATCGCGGTCTTATCGATAGAGCAATCTCTTACAGACAACCTTTGGTTAAAGAAGAACAGATGGAAGTTGTGTTGTGACTTCTTCATTCTTCACTGCAATAGCAACACACATAGCAAAAACATATTTTTTTGCTATTTATTTTATCTTTTGTGTATTTTTTTTTTATGTAACTCATGTATTTATTAATAACAATTTTGTTAAGTTACGTATGCCATAGATAATTCAAATAATGTGATTGTCTATTTAAAATATTTGTAATGCAAAATACTTTACTGCCACAGCTAAATTAATGCGAACTAAGCTGCGGTAAGAACTAGTATTATCCAAACGTAGAACCAAGATAAATATTACCCCGACAAATAAATCTATTTTGATACTGTTGACCGTGACTAAAATAACAATGGATTTTCCCACGTAACGTTGTAATTCTTGTTTCAAGACTCTTCGCTATAATGATAGCGTGTTTAACAAAATAAGTTTAAAAATAAAATTTGTAATTATCTATTTCAATAATATCATTCGAAAAAAAAAAATATTTAAAAAATGTATTTTTATATATTTTTTGTTACTGCCGCTTTTGCATTCGATTTGCATAGAAACTGTGGAATGAGTGTTTTTATGCAACTTAGAATGGCAAACAATCTGACGGCTCACCTAATGGAAAGTGGTAATCGTCGACTATAGACATGACAGTACCATGGGCATAACAGAATATACCGTGCCGCCCATAATATCGCCTTATGCGTTTATATTCCTGAGCACTAAAATGTACGTATATGGCAGAAAAATTACGAATACGAATTAATAGTGTTGAAGCTTAAGTAATCCTCAGAAAAAGTAGTTTATGAGGACCAAGATAGACTGGTAACTATATTATCATAATCTTATTTTTAACCGACGGTTACTATTTATGTGTTAGTTAGTTAGTGTTGTTAGTGGATTGTCGTTTTATTGCCATTCGAGCTATGTAACAAAAAACTATGTAAAACTATTCATTTTTTGTTATATTAAGAATACACATAAATACGTAATTTTTATGATATTTATTTAAAAATTCTTATAACATTTTAAAAATATTATTTTTGTTTGTTATTATTTTAAAGCAGACAGAATCGATTGGTAACGACCTCAACTATCTAATAAAATACCTTCATACACTTTCACAGATCTCAAATTAAGCTATAATAGCCAACAGCATTAGAATAGTTCACAAAGAGATCACTTTCATAATTTGTCTCGTTTATAAACTCTTTTTCAAATCTATCTCTTATTTAAAAAAAACTCTGAAGTGTAGCCTCAAATTTCACTCACCACATCTAGAATATTCCTCAGCAACCTGACCTCTTGTAAGGTCACCATCGCCTAGTAAAAGGATCTAGTCACCACGGGCCGGTAGCTCATATAGCGCGCATCCTGCGCGAGATGAGATGCGCCTTCCTGCGCCCGCGCGCGGTTGCACGCGCTACTGAGCGCGACCGAGGAACTGCGGCGTAAATGGCACAGTAGTTAAGAAATTATTGATTAAAAAAAATATCCTCTTAATTCCTTTCCTGTGACTGTCGTAAAAGGCGACTAAGTGAACTTAACCAAACATAATCAAAGCCTAATTGCGGATGCGAACTCGCCTGCTAAGCGCGGCAACTATTGGCAATAACACAATAACAATACATCTTATATATGTATATGTAAGTATATTTGTTATTTATATATATTAATTTGTTTATATATGTAAATTTTAGTATATATGTATATCAAATATTATTAGTAACGCATTTGAGTATTTCTACACTTGCCTTCAACTTTAGTTGACTGAGAGAGAATGCTATTTTTTTTAATGGATGATAATGGAATGGTAACTCCACCTGTGATAACGGTATACGCCGGTGGGGCACCAGTGAGGGTAATAATAAAAAGGCAGGTAAATTAGCCCATCGTGGTGAATACACCTGGAATTCAGCACGATGGTTTCCAAGGTGGACCACGTGGAGTTCGACCTGATAGGGTATATTGCTAGCAATGGAATTGGTACTCCGCATTACTAACAATCCCTTCCCTCCTAGAGAATGCTATTAGCATTAAGTCCTCCTTTTACACATAAATTTACTAAAAAATAAATAAATTGATGCAAATTTATACTTTAATTTACTTTTACTTAGGGAAGTATTTGAATAATAAAAATTAGACTTTTTATAATTAATAATAACTTATAATTTAACCCATAGTTCCCCTAGTTGTGCGTATCAGTATAATACTCGTATTACGCTTAGCGGCCGGACATCGCGCGCTCACCGCCCATACCGCTACTGGCCATTAATAAATTACACCTGTTTTATGTGCGATAGTTGCGATTTAGATCACTGATTTAAAGCCAAATGCTTAAATTAGATGACCGAATAAGGTCGACGAAATAAACGCGTAAGGTCATTATTATATATTGAAATATGCAGGATCACTAAAATTTAAAGAAAATACCTTTAATATCAGTAACATAAGTAGGTTTCACAATATCTTACATATTAGGAATGAACTTACCAGAGGGAGACTTTGTACAAAAGTCGATTGCTTGGGTACCTCTGTCCCATTCGTGTTTCAACCGTAAAGCAGCTGTGTTTGCATGGCTGTGTTTCGGTTTGAAGGGTGGGATATGGCGTAAATTTACTGGGTACAGAGGAATAACATCTGAGTCCTCAGGAATGGCAACGCATGGAGTGTATCATGGGCGAAACAGTATACTCTGTTATGTTCATAGTACTGCTCATGTCTATAGGCGACGGTTACCACTTTCCATCAGGTGGACCGCCAGCTTGTTTGCCATTCTAAGTAGTATAAAAAAAAAAACTTTTGAACTCAATAGCGTCTTCAATTCACAACTCATCAATATACTTCCTTACTAATATTACGAATGTAAAAGTGCCTTATATCGCCTTAACGATCTAATT